GCGCATTAAATATCGCATGCGATTTATCGTGCAGCCCTAGTCATAACGCAATTATGGGTAAATTCAAAAACTTATGTGGCAGCTCTACTCTCCAATAATTTCCTGTAGAAGACACTCACGTCTCAAATCAAGACAAGCTTGTGGTTTAGAGCTCTGCATTAGTAGAACAGAATTTTATTGACTTTTGAGGGCTGGGCTGGACTGTTTGTTATATGTATTTGAATGAAATTAATACTATTCTTTAGTATTATTTTTTTGGTTTGTAGTAGGGCTTAACTCTGTTTAAGCATCATCATTTTAAAAATGAATACTAAAATTAATTTTAAATATACACCAGTAGAGGAAATGTGAATAGTGTGGGTGTCTAAATTTTACTAAACTGTTTTCCCTGGATCATGAAAGTAGTGAGTTAACTGACATTTTCTTCAAATGTCTGTCAAATACTGTACATGTAAATACCCTGTGCGAATGGGTAAATGAGGTGTTTGCTCTTTGTACTGTAGCTGTTCTGTTTTTCCCCCCATTATTTTCCTAAGTTACCTTACAAATTTTAAAGGAGTTGCTTTGCAACTCCAAAGTGACTTTAGTGTTACAAATCTTACAGTTGTACAATTTTGCTGATATTAAGGTCAGAACCATGAATTTTGCATGTATACAATGTGTAGATCTCGGAGTCTACGATAATCACGTTTGTGTTCATTATATATTATAAAATATAATAAAGAATATGTTAGGTTGAGTCTAGTATGTTCTAACAGCATCATGAAATAAAAGTTCTTTTCTTAGATTCTCTTGCTGTTTGTTTTTATTCCGAATTTTTTGGTTAGCAGTGAATGTCACTTCACCTTTCACCTGTTCAGGACTTTCCAGAATGACCACAAAACCCACAGCAGCTTTCTAAAATTAGATGCAATGTCACTACAGACAAACAAAACCAAATTCAAAATGTTTTGCAACCAGAATTCCATTGATGCCAGATTAATTATAAAAGATTATGGGAATTAGTAATTTGCAAATTGGTTTTTAGATGGCTGTTATTGTTTTTTTTTTATCGAAAAGTTATATTAATTTACTATACATGTTAAAAGGAAGTTTGTGGTGTATTACTGATTTACCCTGTTTGATTATTAGAGAAAACCTGGAAAGTCCATATTGAGGTCTTTGCTGGTTAACTTTTTCAGAGAACTGTAATATTACAGATTATTTTTGATGTTGATTTACCCTGCCCATACGTTTGATCACGAGTGAAATAACCACTTTAATCTTTTTCACATCATGAATCACGAGACTCCTGCAATTACTAGTTTCCACTTGACCCTTTGTTCACTTACTTGACATTATGCAATACTACCTATGAGTTCCTGCATGTAAGCCATGAATGAATGATGGTTTATTAGTTTTACTAAGAGTAAAACAAGAACATATTCTTAAAAACTAGTTGGAAAAAGGCATTCAAATCTGTATAGCGAGAAGCACACTGGCTAGCTGAAGAATAAAGCATCTTTGCCAAAAGCAAACACAGCGGATGTGTTTCAGAGAAATCGCAATCATCATAACTGCTTCATTAACAAACATCAGCCTCATATTGCACAATGGACGGTGACATAAGACCATTAGAGTCTGTAAATGATCTTCTAATTGCATTGTAGACAAGGCCACACCATTCATAGGAAGTGCTTTTGCAGTACAAATACATTTCTCAGTTACCCACAAAGCCAGTGCTGTCTTTAACATCTCGTGTAGCAACAAACCCACATGGAAATGGAGTCTGAGATGGAACGAGGAGCCCAGAGCAAGCAGAATCTAATCAGTAAGTTGATCTCACCTTTTTTACTCTAACCCTTTTGTCTTTGAACACTGGACTTTAACATGTAATCTGCTGAGAGTATAATATAGTAATTGTCTTAACTACAGCTACAACAGGACTTGTGTGTTGAGGTCGATTGAGTTTGCATTGTTCAACTATGATCAGTTAGATTTGTCATTTGCATTAGTGTTTGATTAGCAAAGCAGTCAATTTTCCACACCGGTTCACAATTGTACCTGCATGAGGAAGAAAGAAATATACAGTACATATATGAAGTCAAATAGCTGTTTGTGTTATTTTTAGTATTCCTGGTCAGAAATTGTTCAGATCTTATTTAATTAAGTTAATGGTGTTAAATGCATACTGTATGTCGCAATATCTAACAGGATAGTAACTGCAAGACTATCTAAAAGAACCTCAAAAAGGCTATACTATACACAATTTTTTATGTATTTTAAATGTATTTAATCCTTTTTTCTTTTTACTAAAATCTTGATGCTGAATTCACAGAAAGTTCTGTATTCGTCAACTATTAATTTTAGACTTCAACATTTTGTGGTTTTAGAGTTGGCTCATTATCCTGATTTGAGTAATCACATCAGATTATAAATAACCTGAAGAGTTTATTATAGTTTCTTGGATTCCTCTCTTAGGTTAATAGATTGCTCTGTACAACACAATAGTTTAGCACTTTTGACTGCATTATACAATAACCACTACAGAGAAACACCACATGCGAAAACATATAAACACACGTTAATCTTTCTTTTAGAAGAGCATGATAGACAGGCCATAAGCATAAAATATGGCCTTGGTTTGAAATTGTTGGGTGTGTGTGGAAAAATTAGTGTAGCCTTATCCGTCACACTTAGGGGTTGTGTGCCAATGTTCACCACCCACCCACTCATAAAGGACCACCCAGAGCTGATTTATGATGAAGAGGGTCTCCCTGGTGACATATTTACCTGAGAGACTGTTGATCCAGTGAGGGGCCAGTTTTGGTGTAAAGTGCTTCTATTCAGGGTTAAGGGTAAAAGATAAGATGTGGTTTACAGTTTGATTGTTAGTAAGGATTAAGATGAGTCTTACTGATAAGTTGCTAGTTAGAAAGGGAATTTAGTTTCTTAGCAAACCAAACTATCTAAATGAATTGAATCATCATTTTAAGTTTATTGGTCAGTTGTTACACTATGACACTTTTTTTTGTTGGTCAACCTAAAATGAAGTGAAACTAGGATGTGGAAAGAATCTTGAAACTGCATGGTTCAGATTTTCCACAAGACAACTAACTTAAGTAATATAACTTCCATGTGAAGCATCAAACCATATGCCACATGCATTGAATAAAACATGTAATTAGCACTGAGTTCTTTCACACAGCTCAACATTTTGACCCGTTTAACTTTTAGTCATGTGCTGTTTTCTGTGGTTGCAGGTGAAAATAACAGCGGTCTGGGCTGCTGTGGGTGGATTCTTGTGATTATCTCTGCATTTTTCTCCATCTTGATATTTCCAATCAGCATTTTCATAACCATTAAGGTGTGAACCACAATAGGACAAACAAAACAAATAATCCTGAAAAATATTAATTACTATGCTCTCGGGGACCAGTGCTATTGTTGTATCATTTTAGTAGTTTTCATTACTATTTTGAATTCATTTTATTTTAATATTTATTATTTCCATTTATATTTTAAAGTGTATCATAGTTGTCATACAGACGACTTTTCTTAACTCTCATATCACACCATTGCCTTTCTTTTCAAATATTAAAATAAAATACATTTATTACAATTTGAACTCAAATCAATATTTGAAAAGTTGACTTTCTTTTAACTTTAAAGTTGACTTTCCTAGTAAACCTTGCACTTTAACAACATCAATGCCTGAATGTTTTACACCTGTAGTTGTTGTTCAAATGTTTTATAACCCACTTAATATGTTTGATAACTGTTTTATAGATTGTGAAAGAGTATGAGCGTGCTGTCATATTTAGACTGGGGAGGATAACAGCCCGAAAAGCCAAAGGACCAGGTAATACTTAGATTCAGTAGGTTAAAGCTAAACAGATACTTAGGTAACACCACCTTTTGTCAAAGGCAAAGCCTTAGACGTTCCTCGATGCACAGGTACCAATTGTTTACAACAGCTGAGGACATTCACAGAA